ATTTGTATGTACGGTGACAAACTGAATTAATTAACATTTTGGCAATTTCATACCGTCTTTTGAAATAATATTGTCAGCTACTACAGGCGATTATCGACTCGTTGATTCATTTAGTATTTGCATTTGCGAATACATAGACAAAAAACTAGCGGAGGTGTTTAAACACTATTGTTTAGGACTCATAATGATAGTAGTTACTCGTTTCATCAGGCCCATGACCAAGGGGTTCGAGGATCAAAATTGTATATCCGGCGCACTGAGACAATTGATGTCACCACTGATTGACAGAACACAGATTTCAAAAGGGACCAAGGATGAAAATAAAGCGACGAGTTTTTGTGTTAAAAATGTACATCCACATAATTGAAGTGGTTAATTCCAAGTAACAAGTGTAAAAGAAGATAAGAATTATTTCACAATCCGTCCATTTCTTTGAACTGTTTTAACAACTGTGGATTTAGGCTAGAAATTGTTTTAGAATTTATGAATTTATGAAATACAATATTTACTTCTGTACTTCAGAGTATGTCCTATTCCCCTTGCCAATGTCTTAAGTCCACCCCTGCGAACCACCTTGATAATGTCCCCTCCCGGGTGAGGCCTTGTCACCCCCTTCTAGATCTACCAATTGTTTTAAACCATGCTGCCTATATAAACATTATCATAGAATCAATCTGGTATCTTTTTGAGTTTTCTAACCCTGCTATGAAGGATGTAATAAATATTCAATTCAATCTAGAATGGTATCTTACACTTTTTTCTAAAAAACATATCTTTGGTTTATCAACACATACCGGACACAATATAACAAGTATAGAGTTTGTAACATAGATAAGAGAATTGGGGAAAATTACAATTCCTAAGGAGTTGGAAGAAAAATATGGTTTTGAGAAGAGGGTGTTAACAGAATTGTAAGCTGAGGGGCATGATATGTATTTTTAAGGAGAAATATATGACTTATAACTAAAAGATTTGTCTCTGTTGTTTGCCGAAGGAATTTAAGAAGAGATTGAACAATTACAAACACACTTGGCGGACATTTTATATAATAACACTTTGGATCTTCAATTTAGAAATGAATCAATACAAGAACTATAAACAATACTCATATCAATGTAGCAACACTAGTGCCGTTGCCAGGATTGAAATTGAAGAAATAAAATAACTATAAAATATACACATATCAAAACAACAACACTGGTGCCGTTTTTCGAAGTGGAGTGCCGCGGACACAACGCTGGGAGTTCAAGACAGACGACACGGAAAAACAAGAAATAAACGGGGGAAGAGTGAGATAAGCTGACCTACAGTAGGTGCCAACATTACGTGTTACTGAGAAGAGAAGTCACAGGCAAGAAGGGTGAGTTGAAGATTTAATAATTGGTGATAGTTCGATAGCTTTTGATTGCTTATTTGTTTATAATTGATAGTTAATTGAATAATAGAAGAATTGAAGATATAAAGAATCAAAATTAGCATGGATCCTTCCTTGTCTAAGTTTTTTTTAAATGTTGTGCTTCGAAATGTATTTTAGTGGTTTCTGTGTGAGGGAGGTGTCCCTCTGTGTGGTGGTCTTGTATTTTGATTTGAGATCGTTGTTTTTATGACTGGTGTACTCTTCGATGTTATTTTTCTCAACTTGCTGTGTTTTGTAATATTTCCTGGTAAGTTTCGATGGGTCACCTATATTAGACAAAACTAACGGTAGACTGTAAATCTAGTAAATCTAATAAATATAGTAAAACTAGTAAATCTAGTAAAATCTTGTAAAATCTTGTAAAAACTTGATTATTCAATGTCTAAGATATAAAGTGCAAATGTCGAAAAAGCACTGAAAATGCCTTTGTATGAATGAAATGAACATGTAGAAAAAATTCTACCTTTTATTTCATTATATTTAGTAACAAAACAACTATATGTTAGTACTGGATAACAAAATGGTTATCAAATGGTACACCCATTTTATCATCATACACAACCCACCCAAGAAGCATGCTCTATTAATAAATTAAGTTACATATTTAAGGACTGAGGGGACAATGCGTATCATCTAAATGACACAGGCTTGTTTTTCCCTCACAAAATGTTATAATGCTTAGCCTATCAGATAATTTAGTTATTGCTTATTTTTTGGCGATGCTGTTCAATTGACAATATTTGTAGAAGTTCCAATGTGAGAGGAATGGATAAATGGCAATTTCAAAATTGATTTTTGCCAACCCCAAAAAAATAATAAAAAACAATCAAATGCTGTAGTAAGGGGAATCTAGTGAGACAACTTACTGATTGATCTATTTGCTTTACCTATACATAAAGTATAGTATGGCATTTCTACAATGCTTTCCATTTACGTTTTGATGATGATATGTTCCTTGTATTCCTTGTAATTAATAGTTTAAAGCCATATCATATCAGCCCCTTGAACATTCTTTTTTATTATAATATTTCACAATTTTGTTAAAAAATTTGTATATTGATTATTTGATGAAAGGAATGACTCTGAATTTTAATGCAGAGAAGGTATTTTTCTAATGTTGTAAAAGGAATCATAATCACCAATACTCTTACATAGAGACTGACATTGATATCAAATGAATGGTCCCTAAAAAGTTTACAAGATTTTACAAGATTTTACTAGATTTACTAGGTTTACTAGATTTACGAGATTTACTAGATTTACTAGATTTACAGTCTACCAAAACTAACTTCTCCATAATTTTGAAAAGTCAATATCCAGGTTACACCCCAGTCACATTTGTCGCACGGCGGCCGCAAGTCGGCCGCAGATCAATTAAATCGGTGAATTTCTGCGGCGAGCGTAGAAAGACTACGCTCGCCTTGCGGCCTCCGTACGGCGGATCCAGTTTTTTACAGGCCGCAGGGTCGCCGTAGAAATTATAATTCGGAGTTATAATATTTGTTCATTTCTGAGGTCCCCGTAGAAATCAACTGGCTCAACAAGATTGAATCATTATTTGTCAATTTTTACGATCACTTTTCATTTGATATTTCATCCTAGCACTATGAATAACATTTATAAATTGTCCTGATGTAAATAAAATGAAAAAAGTATTATTTATCAACAGAAATTTAAAATTCACCGTGCGGCTGCCGTGGGAAATGTGACTGCAAAAGTATGAGAGCGCAGAAATTCTGCGGCGAGCGTAGAAATGTTACTGGCCGCAGAAATGATAGACCGCAAGGTCGCCGTAGGAAATGTGACTGGGGTGTAAATGCCACATTCACCTTGAAATTATTTCATAGTCTAGTTACTTGTATTAAATAGATAATTTATTTGGCCATTTATTTTTGGTTTAAGTGAACTCAATGCTTATCAATAAATTAATGTTACAGATCTTTGCAATTCAATTTGTTTTTTGTTTTGTTTTTTCCGTTAGGAAAGTTTCATAAATACCCGGGAAGGGGGATTAAAAACACAAGTATATTTCATTTTATATTTACTGGGCATCCTATTTGGATTCCATATGTTTTATGGTAACCAAAAGTTACCTCATTTTAGGGAGGAGGTCTTGGTAGTCCAGTAAATTTAATATTGATACAATTTTTTCTATTTGTATGCTATTGGTTCCTCCGTTTGGCACTTTTGGGACCATTTCATTTGCCTCCTTTCTGAAAACTTCCCTGTGGAACTTTCCATACTTTCGAAAATAAATTCTATTAATATCACTTTATCAAATCATTATGACGTTTGCTCACTTTTGGATGCAATTTCTATTTACTCTAACAGTGCACTTGTGATATTTAAGAAACTGTTGCTTCGGGCAATTCATATTAGATACTCATGTTTAGGAATCTCTGCATATATTGTGCAAAAAAGATCTCCAACAGGTGTATATCTGCTGTTTCCGTGCTAGATAAGGAAGTCCAGTATTGTTTGGGGTTGGTGAATTAAGGGTAACTTACCCGGTGTCATTCCTTTACTATTTCTTAGCAGGGGAGCTGCTATGCGATGGAATAAAGTGAAAGTTTGAGTTTTTTGGACCTGAGTTTGCGTTAACAGTGTTTTGGAATGTATTGTGCTGAACTTCGGGAGTTATGTATACCTGCTATTTTAGTTGTAAATTAGGGAGTCAAGTACTTTGAGGGGTTTGTGATTAAGGGTAACTGGTACAGTGTCATTCCTTTACTGTTTATTAGCAGGGGAGCTGCTATGCGATGGAATAAAGTGAAAGTTTGAGTTTTTGGACCTGAGTCTGCGTTAACAGTGTTTTGGAATGTATTGTGCTGAACTTTGGGAGTTATGTATACCTGCTATTTCAGTTGTAGATTAGGGAGTCAAGTACTATGAGGGGTTTGTGAATAAGGTTAACTGGTACAGTGTCATTCCTTTACTGTTTGTTAGCAGGGGAGCTGCTATGCGATGGAATAAAGTGAAAGTTTGAGTTTTTGGACCTGAGTCTGCGTTAACAGTGTTTTGGAATGTATTGTGCTGAACTTCGGGAGTTATGTATACCTGCTATTTCAGTTGTAGATTAGGGAGTCAAGTACTTGTTAGCAGGGGAGCTGCTATGCGATGGAATAACGTGAACGTTTGAGTTTTTGGACCTGAGTCTGCGTTAACAGTGTTTTGGAATGTATTGTGCTGAACTTCGGGAGTTATGTACAGTATACCTGCTATTTCAGTTGTAGATTAGGGAGTCAAGTACTATGAGGGGTTTGTGAATAAGGGTAACTGGTACAGTGTCATTCCTTTACTATTTGTTAGCAGGGGAGCTGCTATGCGATGGAATAACGTGAAAGTTTGAGTTTTTGGACCTGAGTCTGCGTTAACAAGTGGTTTGGAATGCTTTGTGCCTTTAAACAATTAGAAATGAAACCAAAAGTATCAATATATTTTTTATTCAGAGGAGCTGCTTTGCGATGGAATAAAGTTTACATTTGTGTATTATTATTTTAGACACGAGTTTGGATTAACAAATGCATTGAACTTTGCGGTTTGTTTCAAATAAGAGGTCTCTGTGTGTTTTAACTAAATCAGGGATAAAAAGACCTATACCCAATAACCCACTAATTGGAGGTGAACTCGGGCGGCTTTCATATAGAGGCCAACCCTGTGGAATTTGCAATACCGTTGGGCATCCATTTTACAGATGTCCTCAAAAGAGTAAGCCACGGTGCTTCAAATGCCAAAGTACAGAACATTTTGCGAAAGATTGCCCTTTGAATAAATCAGAGAGAACAGATAGCCAAAAACAGAATGAACAAAATATCACAACCAAAACACCAATAGATACAGTGGTAACAGGATGTTCTATTGAAAATGGTTTATATAATGAAATGAAGTCTGACAGTGTCACAGAAACAACACAAGGTGGAGCCAGGATCGAAGATGTTCCAATTCTTCTGAAGCGCAACAAACTTGATAAGCAGCACCTGAATAACATAGTTACGCAAGTAGGAACAAAAAATGTTGTTTACGATGGCGAAAATGTCGATGACTGCAATACAAAATACAAATCAATGGTGCAAGGCATTCACTGTGACTTCTTTCCAGAGTGCAACATTATTGTGTCAAGTATTCCACCTAAACATCCATACGACAAAAATACCCAGGGAAAGATCAACAAGTTCAATGCTCAACTGGAAAAAATGTGTAAACTTCTTGATTATTGTGAATATGCAAACAATGATGCTATGCTATTAAGCAATGGTGGGAAGACATCCAAGGATGACTTTAAGTCTGATGATCCATCTGGAGTTCATCTGAGCCCTCATGGGTACCACAATATTGCGAGGCAGGTCAATACTGTGATGAAATCTGGAATAAAGCGAAAGAAAAGAGATAATGATGGTTTCTCAACACCACCTTCAACTGAGAAACCTCTGAAGAAACTGTTGTATAGTGAATCGTAACAGATGAAGATGTCGGGTGTCTCAAAAAAATGTACCCAAAAGTATATCAAGAGCACAGATAAACCAATCAATATTTTCAGACATTTTTTGCATGGTCATGTAGCCAAAACATGAAAGTTTTCTCCTCAATACACCATTTTTATTTCAGTCTTGTCTTTTTGATGCTTTAACCATTTACCTTTTATACCACATTATCGATGTAACCTCATATTCCGATGACAGCCTGTATCCTTACTGCTACATTGTTCATCACATTTGATAATAATTCCGGTGGAATGTTTTGGATTTCTCTTTGGATGTTGCCCTTAAGTTGCTCTAGGTCTTTTTGCTTGGAATGAGCATTAAAAGACTCCTTCAGATAGCCACAGAGAACGATGTTTGAGGATGACGATGGCAGAACAAACACGGATAATCAGGTCAATTATCGGCAAATGATTCAGGAGTTACCTTCCAGAGTTAGGCAGGCTAGCCTGGAGATCAAATGATATCCAAATGAAAACACAGTGGTCTCAAATTGATCCACACACCAAAAGCTACACTAGAATCCCAAACCAATGCAGTTTCTTGAACCTCCGACCTCTCTGTATAAGGGGGCTATAAGACATTGTGAGGGCCTCCCTATTGACCATATTTGAAGGCCCATACTTTTTTCTCTGAGGCTATTTGAAGGACCATTTTTTATGCTAAACCCAGACTAAGAGACCCATAACAACTTAAGACCAGCATCCAAACAGAAATCAAAACATTCCACCAGAAATATCAAATGTGATGAACAATGAAGTCGTAAGGATGCAGACTGTCATCGAAATATGAGGTTACATTGAATATGTGGTGTAAAAGGTAACGGGTTAAAGTATCAAAAAGGCAAAACTGAATTAAAAACTGTGCATGGGGGAAAAAACGTTCATCTTTTATCTACATGAACATGCAAAAAATGTCTGAAAATATTGATTGGTTTGTCTGTGGTGTTGATATACTTTTGGGTACATTTTTTTGAGACACCCTATAATATATACCATATGTTAACAAACCAGTTTATTTTAATTTTATATGTCTAATGTGAGATTTTCAACCCTAATGTAAGTTGACTAAGTGACATTAACAAAAGAACCAAATTATTGTACTGGATTAAAAACCCAAAAATTGATATCATTTTCCTTCAGGAAACATTCTGCAACATAGATAATGTAGATGAAATAGATACTTCATTTAAAGACTTTGGCTTTAACTCCTATCATGCTTTAACAAACTCACATCATTCTAGAGGAGCAACTATTTTAATAAACAAATCTTTTGATTGTGATGTTGTTGAAAAATTTGATGATAAAAATGGAAGATGTGTTCTTGTAAATGTGAATATTGAAGGCAAACCTGTAACTTTAGTTAATGTATATGCACCAAACAATGTTAATGGAAGAGTAACTTTTTTCCATTTAGTAAGCAAAATGATTGATGATCACAGTACTTGTGATGATATTTTTTGTGCAGGTGACTTTAACTGCGTTATGAAAGATGAAGATAGAGTTTCAAATGCTAAAACCAAAGTAATAGATAGAAGTAGGGAGACACTTTGTAATCATATCGTCAAACGTTTTAACTTAAAAGATATAAAAAATAAAAACAAAGTTGATTTTACATTTTATGACAAAAATGGATCAAAAAGTCGTATTGACTTATCCTCATATCAGATAATTCTCTATTTGACATAAAAAGAATATATTTAATGCAAGCACTTAAAGCAGACCACAAATGTGTTTTAATTAATGTTAAAATTTCACAAAACAAAAAAGGCAAAGGTTATTGGAAACTAAATAGCAGCCTTCTGGCTGATAATACATATTGTAACAAAATAAATGAGTGTATACAGTGGGTTAAAAATCAATATTCATATGTAAAGTCAATACGAATTTTTGGGGAAATCTTAAAAAGAAAAATCAAAAGGACATCCATAGGGTATGCAATAACCAAATCAAGATTAAAACAAAATGTGATGTCATATGTTCAAAAGGAAATTGATGAATTATCTAATGCTATAGAAAAATGCTGAAGTCAGAAAAAGCCTTGACATACTCAAATTATAAAATGAATCAAAACTTAATAAGTTATATGATGATAAGATCAATGGATACTTTGTAAGGTCAAAAGCAAAATACATGGAAGAAGGTGAAAAAGTACTAAATATTATTTTCTCTTGAAAAGACAAGGCAGAAACACAATGTAATCAGAAAAATATAAACAAGCTCTGGGTATGCATATACTGATAAAGATATCTAAAAGGAATCTGCTAAATTTTATGAAAATTTGTATTCTAGTGATTTACTTGAAAAGGAACTTATAACTGATTTTTTAGATAATGTAAACATAGAACATGTACTTAATAACAATGAAAAACAAGAATGTGAAAATGATGTTACTGAAGAAGAATCATATGCAGCCGTAAATAATCTTAAGAATAACAAAAGCCCTGGTAATGATGATAATTTTATAAAACTTTTTGGGAACAAATCAAAGATATTTTTATTGATGTAGCAATTGAAAAGACTAATTTTTGGTCCGAAATTCATAAAAATGATCAAGACTTTTTACAATGACCCAAAACTGGTACTAAAAAACAATGGACATATTTCAAGAGAAATTAAACTACAAAAGGTATACAGCAAGGTTGCCCAGCATCGGCTTTGATATTCAATCTCTGTGTCGAATTTTTATCTAAAGCAATCTTACAAAATGAAAATATAAGTGGTATTGATATAAATGGAAATGTTCTGAAAATAATTCAGCATACAGATGATACGACACTTATTATGAAAGATGAAAACTCTATTTCTCATGCAGTGGAAACAATTAAACAATTTTCAAAGGTTTCAGGTTTAAAATTACATTTGGGGAAAACTACGGGAATTGTGTTAGGAAATCTTAAAAAACAGGAAAACAGTAAAATACATGGAGTACAATTTACTAACGACCCTATTATATGAAATGTTTAGGAGTATACATAGGTCATAACGAGAAGCTTTGTGAAGAATTAAACTGAAAACCAAAAATAAAAGACATGGAAAAACTTTTTGAATCCTGGAAAAAAAGAAAATTGAGTTTATTTGGAAAAGTTCACATTATAAATTCACTAGCCATTTCAAAATTTATCTATAATTTTACAATTCTAGATGTTCCAGAATGGGTGAAAAAAGAATTAAGAAAAATGATCTTTGCATTTTTATGGAAAAGAAATGTGTAAAAAGAGATGTTATAATTGGAAAAACTATAGATGGGGGTCTTAATTTAGTTGATATAGACACTAAAATTGCCAGTCTAAGATGTGCCTAGGTACCCAGATTGATAAATAGCACAAGTGCATGGAAAAGCATTCCTACATATTATATAAATCAAATGGGGTTTCAAGTTAAAGATTTTTTGAAAACAAGAACTACTGACAATATCTTCAAAGAATCTTTGTTTTACAGGAACATTTTTATAGATTTTAACATGTGCAAAGATAAAAAGAAAATTAATAATAACAGCATTTTTAATGAAGTGCTTTGGCTTAACTTTAACTTTAAATGGAAAGATAAGGTCATTCTTTTTAAAAACTGGGTAAAAGTAGGCTTCATATATTTGAAAGATTTCTTTGATGAAAATGGAAATATTTTAACAGAACACTATGTATTTAACCGTCTTAAAGACAAAAAAAATTGGTTTTATGAATATTCAGTCTTTCGAAATATAATGAGAAGTATACCCCACTCGTAGCATCAAAACTGTATAATAGCTTTAGCGTGCCAAAAATGCTCTATAGTGACCAGATAATCAATTACAAGCCTGAAGATCTTGAAACACTCGAAGTGGCACAGCGCCAAATTGGGAAATTGGGAAAAGATTGCAAACTTTTCCTAATTCCGCCAGCAACCCTTCGTCAACCATGACAGAAATCTCTCAATAAGGCTATTGATAGATTGCGCTACCACTTGAAGCTTATTGTTGATGGAGAGGGAAGGGGGTGGGGGTATATTGAGCAATTGTGAAAATTGTTTAAATAAATAAAGTGTAAACTGTTATTAAACAACACTGAAATTCATAAACAATAAATCTAGTCACACAATGATGCAAATATTAATATCCAAGAATGTATTCACCTAACAAATGAATGATATTCTGTGAATAAAAAATTAACATAATTCCGCAGATTTACTATTTTCTCCCTTAAATCTGGAGACCTTAAATAGCAACCCGGCCTCCCAAATAAGTATAATAAAACTTTACTATTGATTTTATGACATAGTGTTATATACCTAATTGTTTGAAATTGTATAACCTTTAAAATGATATGCAAGTCAATGTACCATATTGAATGTAACTATTTTTATCCTGATTTGAAGTTGGGTATTGTTATTTTGGCCCACCCTGTATATATGCAAATTAGCATATTTTATAATTGAAATATCGCATTTATTCAAAATATTTTGTTAATCAGGCTTGCAGTACAATTGGAATTACTGGTGAATTCAGAGTTTCCTAAGTGATTTAATTCTCCCTTTCGCGGTTCGCTCTTTGAATCAGAACGTTCGCAAATATGTTCTGAAAAAGCACTCAAAAAGGAAAAAAATTTGATTGGTCAATATTTTCCCACTATGCATTTCGCGTAGCTATTTGCGTGACCCGAAAGTTCTAAATCAAACTAATTACGCAATTTTGTTTTTACACCCGCACGCTAAATAAAACAATGACACCATCGAAAGTATTCTTCTTTGTCATTGCTTTAATAGTCGTATACCGAGTTTAATCAATAAAAGATTGTACAATGAACAACAAAATTCGGAAACAAGTACTATAGATTTGCTTTCGGACCACGGAACAGATTGACCTAGATAATAGCGACGTGTCTTCTTTGGTCTACTGCTCAGTTGTTTGTGGGTTTTCAACGTTACTCTATAATGTAATTTGAAGATGAATACTTTTATTCAGTTGTTGCATCGATGTTGCAGTTTGTAGTGCGGTACGATTGGCATGAAAGTATTGAAAATCGAATGGGGCAGCCATTATTGAAATATTGAATTTCTTCCATATCTTAAAAAGTAAGAATGATAGCGTCACAATTGTTGTGCCTTTACTCATTTTTCAGGGTCAATGAATAAGATAATGTTAAAAGATACAAGAATAATTAGAATATTGTGCATATATGCAATTTAACATATCTTTTAATGATCCAACCTGACGGAGGTCGAGGGAGATACAGAAAAAACGTCCGTCCGTTCGTCTGTCCTAGCGATAACTTGAAAACTGGTCGATGGATTCGATTCAGATTTTATAGGGTTATGTCTATGGCCGTAAGACCTCTGCCCAAGAAGAACTTTCAATATAGCCACTCAATTCAAAACGGCCACCATTTTTCTTTAAAAATGAAATCTTTGATCACTCAAATACGAGTTGATGGATTTCATTCAAATTTTATATGCTGATGCCTAGCGACAATGGAGCTCTGCTCAAGAAGAGATTTTCAAGATTGCCGCTGAATTTTTAAATGGCCACC